CGGGGTTTCACCATGTTGACCAGGATGGTCTTGATCTCTTGACCTTGTGATCCACCCGCCTCGGCCTCCCAAAGTGCTGGGATTACAGGCTTGAGCCACCGCGCCCGGCCTGATCTTTTTTTTAAACTACAGGCATGCACCACCACACCCAGCTATTTTTTGTATTTTTAGTAGAGACAGGTTTCACCATGGTGGTCAGGCTGGTCTCAATCCCATGGCCTCAAGAGATCTGCCTGCCTTGGCCTCACCCAAAGTGCTAGGATTACAGGTGACTGCCACCACAGCTGGCCATCCTATTGCTTCTTTAAAGCAAATTGCAAAGAAAGAGCTAAAGAATCTAGATGTCTTCTATTAAGTGCAACATTAGTGATAATATAGATATATGACATGCTTTTTACTCAATGTTTTGTTGTAGAAAAGGTATTTTTCCATTAAAAAATTATATTAACAATATTGTTCTCAAGGAATATTTTCTGTTGTCAGAGCCTGGGTCATGGGTTACCACTGACATCTAGTTGATAGAGGTCATCAATGCTGCTAAACTTTTTGCAATGCACAGGATGGTTCTCATGACAAAGCGTTATCTAGCTCAAGATATCAACAGTGGTAGGGATGTGAAATCTAAACTAAAAATAGAGATTGAAAAAAATCTCAATTGTATTGTTCTACAATAGTAAATATCAATATAATCAATATAAGCACATATTTTGAGATTCCCAATCATTTAAGAATTAAAAGAGTCTTAAGGACCAAAAAAACCACAAATAATTTGCTTGGATATTTCAGCAGGCCCAGTACAGCTCATGATGTCTAGAGCTCTGACCTAAAATGCTTGATAGCTTGAAAAGTAATTAGCCAGAATCACAAGACAGGTTTTTAAAAAGCTCACCTTTGCCGGATATGATAATATATCTCCAAGGCCACACTGTGGAAGGAAAAACATTCGTAACAATAGAAGTTTGTTAGACCTGAAGACATTTTTTAAAAAGGGTACAGAGGAAACTCTCCTAGAGGCCCTGAAATTAAAATCTTCTAGTTGAGAACAGTACCATAAGGGCACTTTCTTGTTTTCATTTCTTGCCTTTTAGCAAAAATATGAGAACTAAAATGCAAGCCAATACGCTATTAGAAGACGTGTTTCTGTTGATGATTATATATATAATAATATTTCCCCGTTATATGTTTTTCTATCCATAAAACCTTTCATCAAATGAAATTTATTTTATGTTTTTATTTACTGTTTGACCTAGAGTCTTGCTGTGTTGCCCAGAGTGATCTTGGCTCACCACAACCTCCACCTACCAGGTTCAAGCAATTCTCATGCCTCAGCCTCCCAAGTAGCTGAGACTATAGGTTTGTGCCACTACACCTGGCTAATCTTTGTATTTGTAGTAGGGACAGGGTTTTGCCATGATGGTCAGGTTGGCCTCAAGTGATCTGCCTGCCTCAGCCTCCCAAAGTGCTGGGATTACAGGCTTGAGCCGTCATGCCCAGCCTCATGCATTCTATGTCTATGTGTATATGTTTACATTTCAGCCACACAGTAGTGGTTTCTTTTTTAAGATGTTAGGCCCTGCATTTTAGTTCAGTTCACTATCTCCTACCCACCCATTTTTTAAATTATTTCCCAAAAAATGCATAACAAAAGTGCTTTATAAAATAAAATTATTTCAAATTGCTTTTGCATAATTATTAGAAAATGTTAGTAATAAGCTCATGCTCACATGACATCAATGATAGGTACAGCAATCCTAAAATAAGCAGTGCTAACAAGGCAGTGTAACATGACACAGTGTAATATGAATGGCAGGTATCTTCAATTAGTTTAACTGAAATATTTATGAACAGAAACAGCTCTTCAGAGATATGTAACTGTATTCCTAAGTTACCAACTGATGCTGTGTATCAGAAAACAAGAGGTTCTTTTACATAAGTTATGTGCTTCCATTTGCCCTCAGTGTCTAGAATGAGGCTCAAAATAACAAAGGGAAGGGAAATCTCATTTTAGTAATAGGTCTATACAATATCAGCACTTTTTAAAAAGCCGATAACATTAGCAATTAACATGGATATGTCTATAATGCTTCAAGTAGTTTTCAACTCTGAAATGATATTAAAATCACAGAATTTGAAGTTATATGCCAGAAAGGACCAGACCTTACATGACATTTAATCTAACATTCATTTTACAGGTCAGGGAAACAAATCTTAAAACTGACTTGCCCAAGGTCCCACCAAATAGGAGCAGTTTCTTGTCCTAAACTAAATTAGGCAGTGGCTCTCAAATTTTGCTGCACATTAAAATCACCTGAAAAGCTTTAATAAAGGCCTCATTTTCAACATGAGACATTTTGATTTAATTAGCACTGGATATAACTTTGGGCATCAGGGTTGTTGTTAAAAGTTTCCCAGGTGATCTCAATGTGCAGCAAAATTTGAAATGATTGAGTTGGGGTAAAAATCATAATCTTCTGGGATGTTTTTCTTCACATAAAGATGCTATGTTGAGAGTCAAGGGACTAATCCATCTTACAGCAAAGAAAAAAAAAAAGATGCTATGTTTTTCTTTTTCTTTTTTTCTTTTTTTAATTTTTTTTTCCCATTTATTTTATTGCATTTTAGGTTTTGGGGTACATGTGAAGAACATGCAAAATTGTTGCATAGGAACACACGTGGCAGTGTGATTTGCTGCCTTCCTCCCCATCAC